TTGGATATATTGCAGGGTTCATTGTAAGAAAACTTTATAGTAAAATTACATGTCTGACTTGTGCCAATAATTTCTCCGAAGACTTTATCCACTGATCATGAGTATTCTATATTTTGCAGTTCATCGTGGAAAAGTTTTACAACTTTTAAAAATCGAGGTGGTTTAATCTTTCCATCCTGTAGTGTTTTAAAGATTGTTGAAAAATGTGAGCACGTTTTTAAAGTTTTGGTGTGTGGGGCAGACCCCCATAATTTAAAAATATCTTCTAAAAAAAATCTTAAAACCTATCTGGTGCACTTTATAAATCAAAAACTTGCAAATGACGCACTGTTTACTGAACTAAATATGCATGATTTAGAACATGAGATTTTAACTGAAGACATGCATTCTTTACAGCTTTTAAAAAAAATTATAGAAAAATATTTAACATTGTGTCTACACTCATATGGTCAGCTGTACACTAGAAATGAGTTGCATAAAGGAAAGATTGGATTACGGCAACAGTCCAATAAGTTGTTTTGTTCAAAGGTTTATGAAAAATTACAATAATAATATTCAATATTATTTGTAAGCTATTTATGCCAAAAAATAAAATTAATTCTTTAAAACAAAAATTTTATTATTTCTGAAAATTCCTTAACTGTAACTGTTAACTGTGTGTTACAGTTTTTTGAACTAATTTAAATTTTTTAATTGAAAACCTACATTAAAAATAAAAATTTATACCTATTTATATCAGCAACACTTTTGATTTATTTTCATAATGAAATATGTGTTCTTTTATAACAATAACTTAAGGGGTCCAATAGGGTACTTTTAAGTTACAGTTGTAAAAGTCAAAAACATATTTTTTGCCAACATATATTTATATTTGCCAAGTAAAAATGTAATATCTTTGTATTATATAATAACTTTCTTTATCTACAAACGCTGTTTTTAAATAACAGTTTATAAATACATATTTTTAACATTTAAAAAGTTAACATCGCCAAAATGTTTTTTTCTTTGCTGCGGCTACCGGCTTTATAACCTTCAAAAACTTGCTTCATATTTTCTTACGGAATTTATACGAAGTTAGACATCTAGTTAAATATATATCATTGTTTCCAACTTATTCACAACGCGTTAAGGCCATTATCTGTTTTACTTATATTAATATGACTTTCGATGGTTTAAGAAGAAATTTGGACTTTTTTTGTATTCTTTACATTTTAATTTTTCATTTTAGTATAAAATATAATAAAGCTTTTAAATATATATAACACAAAAGTCAAACTAAAAAAGTTGATCAAAAAGGCAAAAAAAGTTATCTTCGAAGTAAGGGTTTTTTTTTTATAAATTTTAAAAACTCAACAAGACGAACTATTTTTCTTTTTATTTGGAAAATTTAAAGAAATTTTATCGTTACCATCATATATTAATACCTTACACAGTTTTGAAAAAATTTATTGCTTATTCCGATGTCACGTGACGATAAAATTGTCTTATATTTTGCTATTCCAATCAGATTGGTATATCAAAATAAATATAATTTGTGGTTTGTAAATAATACTCATTTTAGGGTTGCTGTTAATATGAGTTCAAAGAAAAAAATTCATGTTTCGTTTGTTATAACTGGACTTGCAAAACAGTATTTAATTGACAATTTTACATTAGCCACTGATAAACATGAAGATAAATGCTTAAATGGGCATATTTTGCTATTGTATATACAGCAATCCAAGTCTAATTTAAAGACTGCCAGAATAATTTATGAAAAGTTTGGTTTTTATCCCACTTATAACCAGATATATAGTTTAGTTATGAAATCCAAAAGACTGTTTGCCCATCTCCAGTCATCTAATAGAAAAAAAATTGAAGAGTTATGCAAAAAAATCTTTAAATGTAATCAACTATCAACTATGACAAAAAGTAATTTATGTGAATTGGTTACTTTACATTTAGCTCCTGTTGAAACAGAAATAGGAAAATTTTTTACTTCTGATATTTTTCAAGAAACAATTAAAGAAATGCCTGGTAAAGATACCCTGGGTAATGAATTGTTGAAAAAGAGATATGCTTTATGAAAGCTTTATGTTTGAAACTAATACAAAATTGAAATCGAAGCATAAAGAAAAACTAGCTGTTCTAAAACTCAGAGTTAGAGCAGATCGTTATGTTATAAAAACTCAGAGTTAGAGCAGATCCTTATGTTATAAAAAGACTAAATCAAACTATTAAAAGAAAAAATTTAACTATTCGATATTTAAAGCAAAAACTTGCTAAAATTTCTTCTAAAAATTTAATATTATGTGAAAATGAATTTAAAAAGAAAATAAAAATAATCAAGCTTAAGAAAAAAGAACAACAAAATGATTTGAGTAGTGCCATTTTGAGTAATGATAACCAGATAAAAGCTCTAGAAGTTGAAGTAGCAAACTTGCTAGAAAAATTAGATAAGTTGAAGGATTCTGTCATTGATCATTTGCCTTTCAAAAAAGATAGAAAATCGTATTCGTGGCTAAACTCATATTGTATCTTCAATTGATGAACTTGCATTTTTGTATTCTGATTTCCATAATTGTGACTATCAAGAGAGTCGGACAAATATAATTAAAAATATTTCGAACTCTATGACTGACCATGTTGCCGCTAATCATGCAGCTATTCAGCTAATAAATTCTTCATGGGGTAAGGTTTTAAATGAATTAAATTGTCATGTGCATCCTCTAAAGACAATTGCCACTGCATGTAGATCTGCATTAAAATCAATTGAAAAAAGTAAAGGAGTGCTGTTTGGCAAAGATTGCATGGCTGGAAATATAGTTTTACAAATGAATAAAATGCGATACAAAAATGGCAAAGGAGATCCTAAAGGTTTTACAATCTTTTTAGATGAGATGAAATTACCCAAAGGACTCATTCCGCGTTACCGAGGAAACTGATTGCATATTTTATTTCATATATGTGGTATATTTATACAGCACTATAATTCCTTAATTGAATTTTTAAGCAACGATGTAGTTTCATGTGGAGGGCTTAAAAGTAGTTTAAAAATAGACTTTATTAACGAAACAGCCAAAAAAGAAATGTGTGTCTTAGGGTTATTGGGTAAGACTTTAACAGGACCATGGATGGATGGCATTATTTTTGGATGGATGGCATTATTATATCAGTCAGGTACAGGAAGTTTAAGTCATATTGAAGGAATAAAAGTAGTGAAAAAATTGTTAAAAAATGTTTATCATGTGAAAAACAACCCTATGTTGTTATTTAATGCAAATGATTTGTTTGGAAATAGTATTAAAAACGATAAGGTTTTTAAAACAATAGTTTCGGTGTGCACGAAAGACCAAGAAGTTAAACAAATGATTATACTTTGTTTATCAATTATTATTGATGTTTAGAAAGACAGTATAAAAGATACTTTAATTTAAATCTATCATTACAACTTATAAAAGAGACACAAACAGCTAGGCTTCATAATATTGATGCAGAGGAAATCATGGGCATGTTCAGTGCTGCTAAACATCGTGCTCCCAACTCTACTTTGTGTTTTTTGTCATCAAAGTTAAGAGCAATAAAAAATAATGTAGTTAATTATATTGAAAAAAAAGATGAAGATGATAAAGAGAAAATTGTTTACTGGGCAGTAAACAAGGCCAGAACAAAGAGAGAGATGAATAAAAAAAATATTGATGAAATAAAGCTTGAACTGATTTGTAAAAATAAGTTGAAGAAGCAAAAAAAAGAGGATAAAAACCGAAAAATATTGGCTCTTCAAATTCAAAACATTAATTTTTCAGATAATTTAATAGCATTTCCAGAACTAGAGTCTAATCAATTATCAGACCTCTCAGATATGCTATCAGATACAGTTGTTGGTAGAAACATTTGCCATATATGGTTTAATTCTCAAATGCAGGGAGAAGAAGTTTATTATGGTAAACTTGAAAAAATGAAGTTAAAGAATGGTAAGCAAGTGTATGTTGTAGGATACTGGAAAGATAATGAAACGTATGATAATGATGCTGTGGATTATGACATTTCAAAATTCGAACTTGCTGCCGATATAATATACGGAGACCTTATGTTATCTTGAAAGTGAATTGATGATTTTTGTTTTAATTGCTGTTTTCATAGTGACTTATATTTTATATTTATATTTGGGCATATTACATGCTATTTGCATATGTTTAAATACTTTGGTTTTTAATTTGTTTTTTTTTTATATTTTTAAACTTCTTCGAGATTATTTTATAACTATTTTTGTAATATATACAAAACATCAAAAAGCATCAAGAAATGCTTTATTATATAATAAAGGCATTTTTAGATAAATTTATTTTTCTCTTTTATTAGATACCGGTTTATAATTTTTAGTATTTGTTACTTTGTTTTATATAAAAACATTATTTTGAAAACCCCTCCCCAACTCGCCTTTCCCTCCCTACACACTTTATATTAACCCTCAAGTACGCCCATTTATCTTTGCCCAGAGGCAATTGATGCTTTGCAAAAGGCAGTTGATGCTTTCTTTAGATTTGATAACCTTATTGATAACTAATTTATAAAAATTAAATTTGTTGTGTGAATACTTAAACACCCTCTCTGTACCCACTATGTGCCCCCATCACCGCCACCCAACATGAATATATTTTTCAACCACTGTTACTCAAGGAATATTTGTAGCTTTTTTTAGCTTTCAATTGATACCAAATTTAATCAAATTGGATGATTTTTATTGCAGTTATGATTAATTTAAGTTGATAAATGTTCCGTAGGTCGCTCCTCCGTAACATTTATCGACTGTAAACGTTTCGGCTGTAGAAATTTATAGATGGTAATTTCGAAAAAATTTTTATAACATTGAAACGCCGATAAAATTTACAGACGGTAGCATTTTACGCCGATAAAAAGTTTTATAACATTGACCCCTGGGTCAATGTTATAAAAGTGTTTTATAACATTGACCCCTGGGGTCAATGTTATAAAAGTGTTTTATAACATTGACCCCTGGGGTCAATGTTATAAAAGTGTTTTATAACATTGACCCCTGGGGTCAATGTTATAAAAGTGTTTCGATAATTTTCTACAGCCGAAACGTTTACAGGCGATAAATGTTCCGGAGGAGCGAATTTTTGTTAAAGATCCAGAGATATGAATATTTAGTTGTAAAAACCTGTTTAGAACTTTTCAAAGTACTTACTTTGAGTTGAAAACTTATTACAAATTCATTCATTTTAATAAAGTGCACATTTCTTGGTAAATTTTAATTTCAAGCGATTTCTTTGTTAATATTTTTTTACTGAATTTGTCATGTAAGAAATGTAAGTCATTCTCAAAATTTAAAACTGGTCTCATTAACTACTTTTTAGAAAAACATTGCTTATAAATTTTATACTTTCATTCAACTTTTTATTTATAAACCTAATTCTGAGCTTCTATTTATCTAATTTTTTTTTTTTCTGTTGTGATTTAATATTTTTTGTTAAACTTATTAAATTTAATAAAAAATATAAGAAATACAACAGAAAAGAGATAAAAAATGAGATAAATACAAGCTCAGAGTTAGGGTTATAAATAATAAGTTAAAGGAAAGTATAAGATTTATAAGCAATGTTTTTCTAAAAAGTAGTTAAAGTTATAAAGTATAAATAACCAGTTATTTATTATTTTAATCTTTCTTAAACTGAAGTTTTCTCTTTATCACTATAATTGTTAATATTATTATTACTCTACTTTTATCATTAGGGGCCATCCATAAAGGACGTCATACAAATAGGGGGAGGGGGTCGAGTTAAAAAGGACAAAAAAGGACAAGGGGAGAGGGGGGAGGTTGTCAGAAAAGTTTTTTTCAAGGGGGGTATAGGGAAAAAGGACAACCGGTGACAAAGGAGGGGGGGAGGGGGTCAAAAATTGGCTAAAAAATGGTGACGTCCTTTATAGATAGCCCCTTATAAATATTATGATTCTTACTGTTGTTAATATTGTCATAAATTTTTTTTTACATTACTGTTTTTGTTATATTACTGGTGTTGTTATTATTGTTATTATTATTGTTGTTGTTATTATTACTGTTATTTTTGTTATTATTATTATTAAAATAGTATAGTGTATACTTTTTATAATCTTTACTATTACTTTTAATCGCTGTTTTATACAACTATTATTTTTATTTACTCCTACTTGCATTATAACTATTATTAATAATACCTCAATAATAATAAAATGATGCCAATAATATTAGCATCATTTTATTAGTATTGAATTTTACAGGAGTTAATTTCATATTACTACTTATTACTAATTGTAAATAACCTCAATGTGTCAACTTTATTCAGAATATATTTTATTTGATTTATTTTGATCACTGAAAATTTGAAGTTAATGAAAAACAATGAGGCAAAAGCAATTTTATATATATATATATATATATATATATATATATATATATATATATATATATATATATATATATATATATATATATTTCTTTCTCTCTTCCTTTCTTTCTCTCTCGCTTTACAAATATATATATATTTATTATATATATATATATATATATATATATATATATATATATATATATATATATATATATATATATATATATATATATATATATATATATATATATATATATATATATTTCTTTCTCTCTCTCTTCCTTTCTTTCTCTCTTGCTTTATAAATATATATATATATATATATATATATATATATATATATATATATATATATATATATATATATATATATATAAAGAGAGAGAGAAAGAAAGGAATGAGATCACAGGTGAGAATTCTCACTGAGAATTCATTGAGAATTCTCTGTTCTTTAAGAACATTGAGAATTCTCAATGTTCTTTAAGAACATTGAGAATTCTCAATGTTCTTAAAGAACAGAGCAATAATAAATTAGTAAAAACACTTATCTAATTTTTATCTTCAAGAGCTTGTTTCTCCATCAGTAGGATTATCAGGAAGCCTGATCAACCTACTGATAAACCTTCCTCATGAACCTACTGATGGAGAAAAATGTTGTTGAAGAATAAAACTAGATAAGTGTTTATATATATATATATATATATATATATATATATATATATATATATATATATATATATATATATATATATATATATATATATATATATATATATATATATATATATATATACGTATGTATGTATGTATGTATGTATGTATGTATGTATGTATGTATGTATGTATGTATGTATGTATGTATGTATGTATGTATGTATGTATGTATGTATGTATATATGTATGTATGTATGTGTGTATGTATATAAGTTTTCATGAATGAAAGTGTTTAAAACTTTCCAAAGTTTGTTATTGTGCTAATTAGAAAAATGCTAGATTTATTAGGACTATTTATTGATCCAAAAATAAGATCAACTTTAGTTTTTTAAAAATAAGAACAACTTTAGTTTTAGACAATCTCAAAATGGACAGGCAAAAGAAATTTCTTCATTTAAAATTTATGCAGGGGTTATTTGAGCTTCGAATAGTAAAATAGTGGTCAAACTATAAACAGAATTAAAGTTTTAGAAATAACCTTTGATACTCGAATATGGTATGAGCTCAAATATTTTTGATGAAGTCCGATAACAAAATATATCAAAGTTTTTTCTTCTTTTTCAGAAAGTGTTTAGAGATCATGTACAACTTGTTTCCAAAGTTTTTCATATTGCTTATGGCATGGAAGCACGTCAAAACTTATTGTGGATAATATTCTAATCAAAAGAGTTTATGTTTAAATGTTTAAATAAATTTTTGTTATAAGATTTTGAGTTTGTGTATAATTATTTTAACTATTTAACATTAAAAATCATTTTTTTAAAAAGTTTATTTATGCAATTTTTCCTATTTTTTTCTGTGTTTATAGATGTTCTATGTGTATAGATTATATAATATGTGTTTCTATATGTAAAGATTGTATAATATAAAATGTGTATAGATTTTCTGTATTTATATCAACACAATTTTACAAAATAAAGAAGGATTAATTACCTAATTAGTTACGTAAAAAAAAGAATAAAAACTTTTAATTCTTTAGTTTTATGTATTTTATTATAAAGACCAAGGCCAAATAATCAAGGTCAAGGCCGAGGCCAAAATTTTCAAGGTCAAGGCCTTAGTTTTTGATCTGAAGGCAAGGTCAAGGCCAAGGACTAACAACTCTGGTCTAAAGAAACCTCTATATAAATAGTATAAAAAAAGTTATTTTTATAGAAAAGCTATACATATTTTGTTATAGGGTAGCGTAAAAAATTAATGAGAATTCTTAACAGTTTAAATACTGTTTGAACAGTTTTACTTTTCGTGTTTGTCTCTGATTTGCCAAATATTCTAAAACAAAAAGAATTCATCATCCAAATCCATAAGAAACTGTTAATTTTTGTTAACTTTGATGTTTTCTACTCAAAAACATTTTGTTTTTAACAACCTTTTATGTTATTGATTCGGACAGAAGATTTCCAAAAATAAATTCAGAGTATCTGCAAAGTTTTACTCCGGTAAAAGTTTTATAACATAGAATGAAAAAACATTTTCCTTCTCTAAATTTACGGCTGTAAAAATTCGGAGCAAAATTCCGACGGTAGCATTTTACGCCGTAAAAAAGTTTTATAACATTTTAATAAGTAATTAAAAAATTTATTTAAAAAAAAGTTAGAGTTTTAAAAACGGCTAAAAAATAATTAAAACCCCTAAAAATACCTGAAAGTGGGGGCGCACTACTTCATTACGAATTTTTTTTCAAAATGTGGTAGTGTGCCCCCACTTTGAAAACCGTGTTGTCAGCCCTGCGAATACCATCTCGTCCATCTTTCCTTGGAAAAAAACTTCATGCGAAAAAAATTCAGTTGCAAATCGGCTATGTTACTTAAAAGATCGTTGGTTTAAACGTTTATTTATTGTGAACGATCAATTAGCAAAAACCTTATTTAAAATTGACCTACGCAAAGTATTAAACTTTCATTCATTTTTTGCAATTAAAATTGCGAAAAATGTATCTTTCTCTCGCGTTGTAAGCAATAAAAAAAAGCAATTATTGCTTTTTTTTCTTTCTTTTTCTTTTTATTTCCTTCGTATTCTCATACGTTATTACACTTAAATTTTGTTTTCGAATAAATTTTTGCTATACTATATTGCAAAACCTTAATAGCAGAGAATGTTGCAAAACGTTAATAGCAGAGAATATTGCAAAACGTTAATAGCAGAGAATATTGCAAAACCTTAATAGCAGAGAATGTTGCAAAACGTTAATAGCAGAGAATGTTGCAAAACGTTAATAGCAGAGAATATTGCAAAACGTTAATAGCAGAGAATGTAAAAAAAAAAAAAAAGAAACACTTTGTGCTGTTTAAACTACAATGGTGTTTGTACAGTTTAAAGTTATGACCGCGATTATTTAAATAAGAATTGAGAATAAGAATTTTTATAGGTCAGTGTCCAGTTTACCGTTAAGAATTTTGTAGCATAAAACCAAATCTTTAAACACTTGTCGATATTCTAACGTGTTAAGTATGGCCACTTTTTAGTATGGCTAGACGTATATCATAGGAAACTGACCACAGACCAGCAATTCTTTTAGTGAAGAAAAGGCTGCACTTTCTCAACTTTATTAATCAGGCAAATAGTGTAAGGTGACCATACTGAAGAGCAATATTCAAGCATTGATCGTACATAAGTACAGTAGGCTTTAACTATCAGCAATCTATCTCGTAAATAAAAAGATTTTAAAATAAGAAAAGCTCTTGACATAGCTTTATGTACGATAAGATTAATATGCTGATTGAATTTGAGATTTCTATCAATAGTAACTCCAAGATCTCTTATACAGTTAACATGGGCAAGTTCATGGTTATTTATGGTGTAAACACGCTGGGCTATGTTTTGACTCTGGTTAGCAATAGTACAGACAAAGGATTTTTCAGTTGCTATTTGGAGTTTCCAAGTACAACTCCATTCGTACAAACGATTAACAGCTGTGTGAAGGCCTGACTGAAGGCCACGTACATCATAGACTGAATATAAATTAATGTCATCAGCAAAAAGTTTAAGTTTGACATCAAGCTGTTTATTAATGTGGCTCACATCATTTATAAACAATAAGAATAGAGTAGGTCCAAGAACACTCCCTGTGGAACACCGCTTGTTACAGATATAGCATGGGAAGTAACATTGTTTAAATTTACCACCTGTGATCTCATGTGCAGAAAATTAGTTAGCCAATTCAGAAGATTGCCAACTATTTGCCGTAAGCAAGTAATTTCATTAGTAACTTAGGATGTGAAACTGAATGGAAAGCTTTCTTAAAATCAAAATAAATAATATCTGTTGGAATACAGCGCTGAAGATTTAAAGTCCAGTCATGAAGACTTTCTAGAATATTAGTACAGGTACTACGTTTACGAATAAAACCATGCTGCTCTTTTCTGATTAGGTTATTGAGTAAGAGATAATTAATCAGTTTGTTATTAATGATTCTTCCCATTAAACGACAACAAGTAGATGTCAAGGAGATAGGTCTATAATTACCTGGGTCAACTGTTAGTCCTTTTTTGTGAATTGGAATAACGCTTGCTACTTTCCAGTCTAGCGGTATAGCACCATCTTTAAATGAGGTATCAAATATATGGCTTAAAGGAATCGATAAACTATTGGCACAATTCTTTAGGAAAACATTGGGAATGCCATCTAGACCAGTAGATGTAGTGGGTTTAAGTGCTCTAAGTGCTTTTTTGACTCTAGAAGGAGAAAAGTTAATAGATGACAGACAAGTTGAATGTACGTTAACACGATCCGTAAATTTTGGTGATAAACCATTATCGACTGTAAAAACACTTGCAAAAAAGTTATTAAAAATACAGGATATTTCTTCTTTATCATGACAAAGGGTATTATCGGATCGACAAATGTCATTGAGTTTACTACAGGTTTTGAGTTTTCCATTGACAAAATTAAAGAAACTGCCAAGGTTGTCTTTGCGTATCATCTTAAGTTCTTTTGCTCCATGATACTTTCTAATGGAATCAGAACATTGTGCGGCAATTGATTTATAAGCTGCTTTGTCATTAGGTTTACCTGTTACTTTTGATCTTTTCCATGCCATTGCTTTGTTGTTTATTAACATAATAAGGATAGTGTATTTTATGTGATAATTAATGCTCTTCACAGACTCGCACTTTACGTACATGTTGTGTAATAATGTTATTTAGTATAGTAAAAAAAGTATGCCAACAAGCTTCAATATTAAAACATGTTTGAAAGATAATACTCCAATCGACCGATTTCAGATATTTATTGATAACTTGGTAATCTGCATTTTTCCAACAGAAGAACTGTTGCACTGGAACTTCAGTTTTATTATATAAGCATCTCAAATTAGGAGTGAATATGATTACATTATGATCACTAGTACCAATAGGTGGTTCAATACAGAGATTACTGATAAATGAAGAGGAAGAACTCAAAATAAGATCTAAGATGCTATTTTCTCAAGTTGGTTGATGAACATGCTGAGTGAGACTCTATCTGTTTATAAAATGTAAAAAAGAGTTATGTATAACACTATCTGGACCATAATAGTAGTGCCAATCTATATCAGATAAGTTAAAATCTCCTAGTATGACCACATTTTTTTTGGTCGAACAAAAAATAGAGAAACATTTTACACTACTCTGCATATAGTCAATAGCTTCTTTACCGAAACCCACACTGCGATAATAGCCAATAACTCTGAACGACTGACCATTAAGGTTTAAGTCAGCAAATACAATTTCTAACTCATGAAACTCTGGTGGTATGTCAACTTTTGTAAATTGTATAAAACTGCAAAAAAATATTGCTATTCCACCACCTTTACTACTTCTGTCACAGCGAAGAACAGTGTAAAACCTAGGACATAATAGACTGTTAGGTAGATTTTTATTTAACCAGGTTTCGATAACACAACAAATATCAAGACTGTGTAAATGGACAAAGTGTTGGAAATCAGCAATTTTATTACCTAGAATGCGAATGTTAGTAAGTGCCCATTTCCCACAATAATTGTTTTTTGGATGGTTAAATAGCTCTCGGTTTTTTAAATTTGTTAGTTGCCTGTTGTTGTTCTTTTCAATAAACTTGTTCGAGTTTTTAAAGAGTAGATTTTTTGAAAATAGCAGTTGATCTTGTTGACTTGATATGAATTGCTATTTACTAAATTATAGCTATGATTTTTATTTTTGCTATTTACTAAATCATATTGCTATTTACTAAATCATATTACTATTTACTAAATCATTGCTATATACTAAATCATATTGCTATTTACTAAATCATAGCTATTTACTAAATCATTGCTGTTTACTAAATCATTGCTATTTACTAAATCATATTGCTATTTACTAAATCATAGCGATGATTTTATTTACTAAATCATAGTTATATAATGAGAAAAAGAAAAAATACCTACAAAAAAAGTAAAAGATGTTTTTATAGTAATCAATATGCAAACTCGTTAACGAAAAACAAAAAAAATACAAAAAAAGATTCAACTGTAGAATCAACAACAAACATTGACTTAGGTTTTGTTGGTAACCATAACATTGTTATTGAACTAGACATTCTTAATTTAATTTTAATTAATATGATATGTCCAAAATGCATGTCAACAAATGTTGTCTCTGCAAAAAACATTGTCAGATATAAAATTGGATGGGCTAACAAGCTTAATATCAGTTGTAGTATTTGTAGCTGGTTTTACGAAACTTTCACTTCTAGTTTGAATAACACTCCAGAACAAGCTGGTCAGAAAGCTTTTGATATTAATATTAGATCTATAATTGCATTTCGTGAAATAGGAATTGGTCATGAAAGTGCTAAAAAATTTTCTATGATAATTAAGTTAGTCGAGCCAGTTGGAATTAAGTCTTACAATGACATTAATGATCGACTTCTAGAAAGTTACTTTAAGGCTGCTAATGAAAGTATGTTAATAGCTGGTTCTGATTCTAGAAACACTGACAATAGCATTTCTGAATGCACAGTTTCATTAGATGGAACCTGGCAAAAAAGAGGGCATAACTCGTTGAATGGTATTGTTACTGCTATCTTACGAACCAATGTAAGTGCATCGATTATCAAATTATGTCAAAAAAATGCAAAGCTTGCCAAGTTTGGACTAAAAAGAAAGGGACTAATGAATATAATATGTGGAAGAGCTCCCATATATGCCACATAAATCATAATAAATCAGCTAGTTCCATGGAGTCGGATGGGGCAGTTGCAATATTTCATAGGTCAATTTCAAGACATAAGTTAAAATATAAGAATTACATTGGAGATGGGGATACCAGTTCATACTTGAAAGTTGTAGAATCATAACCTTATGGTGATGATTTTTTAATTCATAAACTTGAATGCGTTGGTCACATTCGAAAACGTTTAGGTGCAAGGTTAGGTAATTTAAAAATAAAGTAAAAAAATAAATTGTTGTCAGATGGAAAAAAACTTTTTGGAAAAGGTCGTTTGACGAAAAAAGCTATCAATTCACTACAATTTACACGCTTACTTTGTCGGATTGCCATGCCATAGTATGACATGACAATCCGACAAAATAAGCATGTTTATGCAATGAAAAAAGCACTTGGGGGCTGTGTTATTTCACTGTTCAAAAAATATCACTGAAGAAGAGCGTCATAAATACTGTCCTCGTAAAAGATAGCTGGTGTAAATGGCAATCTAATAAAATAACAGGTAAAAGCACATATACTTTAAAAATCACACTACCAGCTGCTATAAGAGATGAACTTAAACCAATTTTTCAAGAACTAAGTGAGGATGCATTACTTAATTAATGCTTGCATGGTTTGACTCAAAATGTCAATGAGTGCCTTAATTCAATAATTTGGTCTCGTTGCCCAAAGAGAATTTATTGCAGTAGAAAAATTTTACAAATCGGTGTATGTTCTGCAGTTATAAACTTTAATGATGGCTATAATGGATTGAAAAAAGTATTTAGTAATCTAAATATTCCTGCTGGATATTTTTTTGATAAAGGTTCTGCAAAAAAAGATAATCGTCAAAATATTTTAAAATGTAAACAAAATACAAAGGAATTTAAATGTAAACGAAAGCATTTATAGCATGAAAGAAGAAGGTTACATTGTCAACAAGAAACTAGAAGGTGGTGATTGCTATAAAACTCTTTTTAATATACTTACGATTTAAGTTAATTTTTTAAATGATGTTGTACTTAATTTGCGTTTTTTAAAAAATTGTAAATTTTGCTTTATGTGTTTGCTATTTCCTAAAATTTTCAGGATGCTGTTGACAAAACGCTTTAAAATTTTTCCAAAAGTTTTAAAATGAGTATGACTACAATATGAACCTCAATCAAACAATCACATGTACTACAAAAAATTGGGGGGGGGAGGGAATTTTGGGGCAACAGAATACGAATGTTGTCATAAATATCTTATAACTAAATGTAGAACTTGTATCCAACCTTGGTTTTGGTTCACATTGTTCTTTGTCATTTTATTAATATACCCTGAAAGTTTCAGCCTAAATACTTTATTAGTTCCGAAGTATTTTAGGAAAGAGAATTAATACTTTTTTGCCCTTTTTTTCATAAATTCGGCGCATGCGCAATTAAATCGATTTCAAGAAGTTTATTAGTTGAATCACTATTTTTTATCTGGTTAATAACACAATTTTAAGACACACTAAAACAAAACTTGTTTTATTATTTTTATTATTTATTAATTACAGCGCTTAAAGGTTATGTCTGTTAAAAATATTTTTAAAGATACCCGGTGCCGGAGACATTAACAAAATCGCCGATTCAGGGTACCCGGTAAAACCGCCAAATTACCGGGTCCCCAGATCCGAACCGGGTACCTGGCACATCTCTATTATAAACACCAATATAGCTTTTGCATCAAACACTCGAAAACTTATTTATTTATAGAGACAAGAAAACAAATTAAACAAGCCTTCGACAATAAATACTTTACGTGTGGAGTGTTTTATTGACGCAACACGTTTTGACAAACTGCAACACTAATGTATTTAAGGCTTTTAATAGTATCAACTCAGAATTAGCCAAATGTTTTAATTTTTGACAAGGCTATGTATAAGGAACATTACTTTTTCTTATTTTTATCAATGATTTGAATGTTCCATTTAAATTTTATACTGCTTGAGGTTGACACCAATTTACTCCTAATCAACAAATCACTTAAAAAACTTGACAAAAATATGTTTCAATGGCTCCTATTACATTTAATTTATTTAAACTATTACATTTAAATTATTCAAACAAAAATAAATATTTAAATTTTAGATTAAGTAGAAAAATAAATCTTATTAAATCTAATAAATACTTTGAAAACAAAGAAGACTATAATTTATCTTCTTTAAGACTTTGAAGCTTATTGAACTGCATGTTAGCTAAAAACTGCCGATATGTTAATCATGAAACTTTGCCTTATATATTATTAACTCTCATCTCAGATATTTATATATAATTGAGGCCCAATAGTTGGGCCCCTATTATTTTTAGTATATATAAATGGCCTTAACAAAATCTCTAACTTAATTTTTGCTGATGACACAAATCTATTCCAAACTCATGAAAACATAAATACCGTAGATGCGGGTAACTAAAGCCTACGGGGAAACTAAAGCCATTATACCAGGTAATTTTTGGATGGTGATAGTGGCAGCACTGATTGGATTCAACAGCTGATGTTGTGTTCTTCTAATAGGAACTTGGACTGCTTTCCAAATACTTGTCTGGATTATTAAAACAGTATCACGGTAAGTGTACAGTAAAACTATATATTTAACCTAAAAAATCGATAAAAAAGTTACCTTGCATAACTTCTGCTCTGAACAAATCATTTTTAATCTTAAATTCTCATAACTCTCAACAAACATAACCTCAATTTATGTTTCATCACACCTTTAAAGGTTATAACCTATAACTTGATTCTTTCTTTTGTTGTGATGTTTTTTTTTTTCAGTGATACACAACATGGTGTAACTAAAGCCACATCATAAAGGTGGCTTTTGTTACCCCATACTTTATAATAAGTCAAAATTCCTTAAGTAATAAATTTTTTC